CAATGCTATGCCTTCCATCATTTTATATTGCAGATCTAACAAGATACCTCACTCAGCCAGATACTGCCCCTGCAAACAAAAATGTGTTGATTCAATTATTCATGTCATTTTGCATTGTCACCTGTATGTAGAACGAAGGTGTATATATTTACATTCTACTTTAAGCAGCATGATGGATTGCCCTGATACACTTAAGGTATACAGACTTCTGAATTACTTCTGTTCTGACATCACTGAGAAGGTGGCCAAGTTTCTCCACTCTGCTTTAAAGCTGCGCCAAAGGGTCCCAGGGACATAGTATTTTTATAGATGCGCTGTAATCTGCTCTTAAATTGCACAACCTAGAGACAGTATTTTTATAGGTGTGTTTTTAATCTGCTCTTAAATGGTATAATCTGTATTGACAATTTATGCCAGTAAAGGCTAACTTGAACTTGACTGTACTCATGAACTCCTTGCATACAATATATGCCCCTTTAAGGTACCACAGAACTTAGTGTTCTTAGAAAACTTGTCAGTGATCTTTAGTTTTGTAGTAAATTATTTTGGAAAGGACATTAAAACTAAGCATTGCATACAAAGTGTTTACAAAATGCTCACACACACACACACCCGTTCAGATATTCTGGATTGCATCTCATTTCTTCATATTTTGTGAAATAAATTTCCTTCGCGAGAAAGTGTACAACTAGAATGATAAAAGGGTTGGAACACATTCCCTATGAAGAAAGGTTAAAGCACTTGGGGCTCTTTAGCTTGGAGAAACAACGGCTGAGGGGTGACATGATCGAGGTTTACAAGATTATGCATGGGAAAGAGCAGACAGAGAAAGAAGTACTTTTCTCCCTTTCTCACAATACAAGAATTTGTGGGCACTCAATGAAATTGCTGAGCAGTCGGGTTAGAACGGATAAAAGGAAGTACTTCTTCACCCAAAGAGTGATTAACACATGAAATTCACTGCCACAGGAGGTGGTGGCAGCTACAAGCATAGATGGCTCCAAGAGGGAATTAGATAAACATATGGAACAGAGGTCCATTAGTAGCTATTAGCCACAAGGTATAGATAGGAACTCTCAGTTTGAGGCAAGTGATGCTCTGTATTGTTGGTGCTGGGGGGGGGGAAGTGGTAGAGCTTCTAGTATCCTGGCCCCACTGGTGGACCTCCTGATGGCACCTGGTATTTTTGGCCACTGTGCGACAGAGTGTTGGACTGGATGGGCCATTGGCCTGATCCAGCACTGGCTTTTCTTATGTTCTTAATAAAACAAGAATCAAACAAGACTCAGATCTGTTTATATATTGTGGAATAAAGACAGTCCTTGGAAAGTGGAACAGAAGGTGGAAATGCTATGAATGGAACATCTATGGGGATGATCCTCTTTGCAAGAACAGGTATAATTTTATGGGAGAAACTGTACCCCAATTCTAACTTCTAACCAGCTACTTAGACAATTCTGTCTAGTGTGAAAATACCCAGAACTTTTACACCATAACTCAGCCTTTTGTCCGCTTACAGGTTTATCTCACTTGTCAAGCAAGTTCTTTACATGGCTTTACATGTGACATCTCTGTAATAGGTCAGCTGATGAACCATTTTAATGATTAATTAGAATATTAAAATGTAAACCAGAGGCAATCTTATTCTGTCAAATCGTACATTTAGAATAGATATAATAATGTTTAAATCAACAGGGGAGTGGTTATTTACAAGTATCCCACCTTACGAATGGTTCAACACTACATGTAATCATTGGACAGCCAAAAAGCTGCAGAAATGTGTTGAACTGATTTTATGA